TTTGGCGCTCATAAACAATCATAAAGCTCTCGTGCTGCAGGAATGAGGAGGTCTGCTGAAGGTGCAGCTGTCCTGCAGTGAGGGGTTTGCGTATTTAATAAACTACGGCAGTTTGCGTTCACTGAACAGTAAGATTGATTAATAAATCCGTATGAAACAGTCCCTTAAAAGTCACGTCTCGCTTTCAGTTTTGGGCTTTGGTGCGTTTTGCACTCACACACAAGCGTACCGCGCCAAAGCCCAAGTGAACCACGCTCAACCGGGCCAGGGCCGCCAAGTGAACCGTGCCTGAGCCTGATTCAGCGCACTCACACTTCTCAAACGATCCGGGAAACGGGCCTGGGCACGGTACGGATGGCATAGTGTGAGTAGGCCCTGAGAGTGCATTTGGATCACAGATCAAGCTGGACTGTAAGCTTTAATCCCAGATTCTTTGCAAATCCTGCACTGAAAAAAAAAAATTATTCAAAGATGATTTCTTGGATTTACTCAATTTTTTTTACGTTTAGTGGTTGTAAACAATTTATTTGCGTTGAATTAAAACAAACAAATTAAGTTGAACATTATTAAACCTAAGCTGTTTGTTTAAATTCAACACAAATAAAGCTGAAGTTCTGCATGCAACACTTTCTTCAGTGTGTTCTGTGGACATGTTTGTACACATTACTATGGAGACATGTTAATATGCTCCTGTCAATCATTTTGGTGGGCGGAGAAAACCACACTCTTACATCACGTTGCGGTCAGCCTCAAAATCACTGGGATTTGGATGTCAGGAAATTTAAAAAAGAGACGTGTTGTGTTTTTATCACTCCAATATGACTGTGGACACACTTTACTACACACACTTCTGTTGATTTTGCACTATAGGTGCACTTTAAATAGGACGAAGCATTTATTTCAGCGCATAAACACACTCAGACAGAAGACGCGGGCGTTCTGTAATACATCGATACTTTATTTTTGTGACACAGAAACTCCTGAACTTCACCGCTCTGTCGGTTCATTCACACACACCAGTGTTTTTGTTCCAGATGCGCAGAGGTAAGACTGGATAAAGTTAATGCAGTCATAAATAATTGTAATAAATATCAAGTAAATGTACAACACGTATTTCACTGCATTCAGCTGTTTGTGCGGACGTCTGTTCACAGACTTCTCCTGCTCTTCTCTTCGATAGCAGCAGTTGACCATATCAAAACTAGAGAAATCATAAAATAATCAAATCAAACAACACACACACACACACACACACACCCACAAAACCCAATTATAGTGCTGATATTTTCACCGAAGTACATCAATGGTAGCGTCAAGTGTGTTTGTATTGATGGATATTAATTACAGAACTCATATTAAAGCAAATTAATAATCCACTAGGAATATTACATATGAAATTTGATCAAGTTTCAAAATTCAGAACTGTATTATGCTTATAGAGACTTTAAAAGAAAGCATCTTAAAAACATTCGCTCTCTCTTTTAGGAGGAGCTGAAACAATAATAAAGCCAAACTAAAAGCAACTTGGCTGTAAAATGTTGGATTTTCATGCACTAGAGTGAGTTCGGGGTGTAAAAATCATCCCTCGGAAGCAATCCTAAAACTGCAGAGCGCTGGGAAGTCAACTCAGAAGTGTGTTTAAGGGATGAACGAATGTCATTTTGGCAACCAAGACCAGAAATGTAGCACCGCATGGCAGCAAACGCTTTCCACATCAGAACAATGCATCCCATTCACAGCTCTGTATATGTCTATAGCTTGCTTTGTATACATGACTTACCTTTAGTTACGGCCCTGAACAGCATATATGCCACTTTAATAATACAGGCAGATATTATTAAATGTCTTGTAGAAGCGATCTGGCCGTTTATAGCTCAGAAGTCTTGAATATGCTCGACCACATGCGTACGCAGAGCCTGTTTATCTCTCTGTCATGTCAGTCCCGGAGATTAATGATAATGAGATGCTGGACAGAGCGTGTTTATCTGTCAACATTGAGGATAAAACCCTTTCGGTTCTGGAAATCTCACAAACACAGGCAAGAACAGCTTCTGGAGGAGTCACTGACCTCATTGGGAAGCTGAATCTGTTTTGGGGAAGGATTCAAGTTTTTGAGGATATCGCAAAAGTAGAACACAAAGAAGGGAGAATGCATTGGTGCATGTTAGGGAAAGCTGGGAAAATGCTCCCCTAAAACACACACATTTTGGTGAGTTAAGATGATGAGAATTCAGGGAGAATACACTATGGTCATGAAGAATGCAATAAAACAAGAAAGATGAAAAGCAGAGGTGCATTATGGTGATGAGAACTTGAGAAAATTGCAAAAAACAAAAAAACTATTATTGTGTTGAAGATTATGAGAATGAAGAAAAAAAATGGGTGGAAAAAATTATGAAAAATGGAGGAAGCTAAAAAAAGGATTGAAAAACAGAGGTGCATTATGGTGACGAGAACTAGAAAATGCAAAACAAAAAAAATAATAATTTTGGTGAATTAAGATTATGAGAATTGAAATTGCAAATAAAAGAAAAAAAAACTATAAAAAATGGGTGAAACAAAAAAACAGATGGAAAAACAGAGGTGCATTATGATGACGAGAACTGGGCAAATGCAAAAAAATAAGTATATATATATATATATATTTTTTTTTTCTTCTGGAGAAAGTCTTATTTGTTTTATTTCAGCTAGAATAAAAGCAGTTTTTAATTTTTCAAATCAATTTTAAGGACAAAATTATTAGCCCCTTTAAGCTATATATTTTTGATAGTCTACAGAACAAACCATCGTCATACAATAACTTGCCTAATTACTCTAACCTGCCTAGTTACCCTAATTAACCTAGTAAAGCCTTTAAATGTCACTTTAAGCTGTATAGAAGTGTCTTGAAGAATATCTAGTCTAATATTATTTACTGTCATCATGACAAAGATAAAATAAATCAGTTATTAGAGATGAGTTATTAAAACTATTATGATTAGAAATGTGCTGAAGAAATCTGCTCTCGGTTAAACAGAAATTAGGGAAAAAATAAACAGGGGGCTAATAATTATGACTTCAACTGTATATATATAATAATGACTTAAATATATGACGTATATATATTAATAATGACTGTATAGTTTGTTTATTATGTGTATAAACTGACTTACATAAAAAAATATATATATTTATAGTTCAGTCCCCTACAAAATCAACCCAATAAATCTAAAAGGACTCTACAAATGAAGCTATTGAGGTCATCTAGTCAAACTGTATTTTTATCGCAATATATATCGCAGAGAAAAAATATATCGTCAAATCTTTCCAATATTATGCAGCCCTAATATATATATATATATATATACACAGTTGAAGTCAGAATTATTCGCCCCCCTTTGATTTTTTTCTTTTTTAAATATTTTCCAAATGATGTTGAACAGATTCAGGAAATTTTTCACAGTATGTCTGATAATATTTTTTCATCTGGAGAAAGTCTTATTTGTTTTATTTTGGCTAGAATAAAAGCAGTTTTTAATTTTAAAACCATTTTAAGGTCAATATTATTAGCATCTATAAAAAAAAAACATTGTTATACAATAACTTTCCTAATTACCCTAACCTGCCTAGTTACCCTAATTAACCTAGTTAAGCCTTTAAATGTCACTTTAAGCTGTATAGAAGTGTCTTGAAGAATATCTAGTCTAATATTATTTACTGTCATCATGACAAAGATAAAATAAATCAGTTATTAGAGATGAGTTATTAAACTATTATGATTAGAAATGTGTTGAAGAAATCTGCTTTCTGTTAAACAGAAATTGGGGGAATAAACAAGCGGTCTAATAATTCAGGGGGGCTAATAATTCTGACTTCAACTGTATATATATATATATATATATATATATATATATATATATATATATATATATATATATATATATATATATATATATATATATATATATATATATATATATATATATATATATATATATGTATATATATATATATATATATATATATATATATATATATATATATATATATATATATATATATATATATATATATATATATATATATATATATATATATATATATATATCTATATATATATATATATATATATATATATATAAATATAAATATATATATATATATATATATATATATATAT